ACATGCCATAATTTTAGAATTTAATTAGGATTATTTTATTCATAGCCAGAAATTTTTCTAACAGAATAGAAGTATTCTTAAATTGATTCATTAGTTACCTCATTTATAATAATTACCATTTCATTACCTCTTTTTTTTAGCTTTAATAATAGCAATATCTGGTCTAATCTTTCTGATTCGAGCTTTGCATATGTGTTACCGTTATCGAGAAACAGAACGTATCGAATTTCCTTGAAAAGAAGAAGAAAATAAAATGAAAATGGTGGAGAATTTTAACATAATTTGATAGTCAGATGGGAGAGGATCTAAGTTCCTCTAATTCCAAATAGTTCCATAAGGGTATGTATAGAAGTTAGATTGTTAAAATTTAAATTTCATTTGATAAGTTTACCAATAGAAAGTTGCGGACTTTTAGAGACCAAATGATGGGCTGATTTTTGATGTGTGTTGGTCGGATGACTGCTTTCCAATGAATAGAAAAGCTTTGGTTTTGATCCTGGTTGTTGTTTTGCGGTGATTGTTCGAGCAAAACATCCAAATCCATATCTTTCTTTTTCACTTATCATTTGTATATATGCTGATCTGGCCTGAGAAAAATAAGTAGTTAATTGAAGAAATTCAGCAGGAAGTATCAATCGGCATGCTTACTAAGATAAATATATTGATAATGATGACGAGATAAAAAAAAAGAAAAATGATAATGATATGGTAATAGTGACGGCAATCTAAAATTTAAATATAACTAAAATAGCTATTTATAAATGGTAGAAGAATGTTTGCTTCACTTTTACAACTGATAAATAAAATTTTATAATTGGTATTCAAAAATATTTTCAGCGAAGCAAGAAAAAGTAAATTACAGCACCTGTATAGAATCTCGATTTGTTCAATGACGTGAAAATGTAGACGTGATGAATACTTCCTAATTAACTTAAGAATGGTTCGAAAAGGTAATCATCTTCCTGTCGTTCTACAACCTCATCACATAATATAAAATATTTTGGATAGTTTCTGTGAAAAATTAAATAAATTTGAAAAATTCTTTTTTAATGTAAGATGAAAAGTCCGGATATTTCTCTTGTCACCATTCAATCGTATTATATCGCATGTCCCCTTTTTTATCACATAGAATCAGGAAAAAAAAAAACATGAAACCAGACGTTTTCGGGACTGCATAGACTTGTGATTGATTCAAAGGTTGAAGGGAACTAAATTTAGCATCTAACGGTTGTTCGTCTCAGGTATTTCTTATTTGTTTACAAAGTTTGTAATCATTAGTTTCAAATTTTGAATGATTTTTTGGATAAGTATGAATGTAAATGCATGTTGGACAATGAAAACTTTACATGGATAAGCAATTAAATGGAACATCAAAAATGAGCGCAGTTGGAATGAAACGAATTGAGGAGCAATAGAAAACGGCTCATAAATCATGAAATGATCCGTTGGACATATTTGTTTGACTTTTCTAAAAACATCATATGCTACCGTCATTTTCTTCCATACTATAGCAGAAAGGTAATAAAGCTGTGGGTACATTATTATTTTAGTTTTATGATTTGAATATAAATCCATCAAAATGGACAAGAATGCCATTGAATCAATTATACCTTTGCTATCCATATTCATCGGATTACGACAGGTCTGCTTCTGGCTATTAATAATTGTAAAAGATAAATATGTATTATCATAATTCACTTTTAGAGGAGTGTGATCACTGAGGAAAAATAATGAAGTATAATAGGTTGTTGTCATTGAGAAAAGGATGGAGGTAAAGTAACAGCGTAGTACGAATGATTTATATCAGAAAGTTTTTAAAGCAATCATTAGACAATTTCTTATCGTTCCTATCAATAGATCACTAAACAACTAATTACTATTAATACTAAAATATTTAATTCAAGCTCAATGCTAGAACTTACAAATTTAAGAGCTTCCAAGCGCTTAAATTACATAGTTTGATCTCTTCGTAATACATCTTCACAAACTATAAAGTTTCGTGTTTCAATTGGTCTCATCCTGAATTACAATATGCTTTTATCAAAGCATTTCCGGAAATAAAAGTTACCACAAAAAGAAATGAAGGGCGCAATAGATCAGTTCTGTGTGCGATGATCTGAATTCTAATGAGGCATGATAAGAGTTATGCATGAAAATAGAAAAATAGGTTGGGAACGGGAAATATATTCCTATTTGCTTGTAACAAAATGAGAAACTTCGTGTACGATCCCCGAAATTTTTTACTTTTTGCAAAACACGAATGAACATTATCCTTTGTAGGATGGAAATGTTTTCTCTCGGGAAATCCTGCTAATTAATTCATCCGGAAGAATATAGCACAAGAATAATATAATGTATCTCACATATAATAGCTTTTGTTGTTTACGGTAAGTAACCCAAACATTACTATCGTTATGGTATCAGGTTAAACTATCCATCATTATACTGTAGGTTAAAGATTTTATAGCTTAAAACACGTACGTGTAGGAATACTACACATTCCAAGAAAATATATATATATTTTTTTGTATTAGAATAGAAAAAAAAAAAAGAAAAGTTAATGGAAAGATATTAGAGAAAGTAATAACGGAGTGAAATGAATAGGTATGTGCAATACCTTCAATTAACTTCATCAGTAAGATCTACTTAAGTAACTGATAGCTCTACAGAGTATCAATTAACAATTACGGGAAAAGGGTTAATTTGTGTTGACTTTAGTCAGTCAATAAAGTGTAGAAACAATGCACTTACTACTCTTCCACTAGTCTAAGCAAACAACAAATAAATGGACAAATGCGGATATGGTCAGTGGGTTCATCCCATACAAATTTTCATAGCAAACAATGTCGTGATGCTGCAGGAAATGATGCCTAAAATATATTCAAAAGGGTTTTAACCATATTCACTCAATACAAAATTAATTTGCATAAACCGGGTTCACACAATTTCCTATCGAATTCTTTTTGTTGTTCGTTCAGTTAAATAATGTAAAATGAGTTCTGAAAACACCAGTATTTCTAAATTGTTTCATTGATTGATATTGGTTGAGATGAAGGTTTGAAATCCATCTTATCACTCACCTATCAGTTAATTAATATAGTAAGAGTTAGGTAAAACATGGAATAAAATTCCAAGGAAGTTTATTGCTAAATTGGAAATAAAATGAATGATCAATTATCGATAAAACGAATCGGCTGCGATTCTTTGTTAATTTCATTTATTTCTTTGAAAAGAATAAGGAAGAATCCGAAAGATAAAAATCGTTTGTTCTGAAAGAGTTGCAAATGTTAACAGACTAACTTATTTGAAGTCCTTCTAGCTATGAATTTGTCGAAAGTTTTAAATTTTCAGAAGAAACTTACAGTTAGTGGAAAATGAGACTATTTTACACCGTCAGTTGGTAGTTTCCCGAGAAATAAGCAAACTTTAAGTGGCTGAGTTATAATTGGAACAAATGTTTTTGCAAAAAGCGTTTATGTATATGTATGTGTGATGCTTATGTTTTCCAGTTCTTTTTAAAAAATTTTTTTCTTGTTCGACTTTTAAAAACTAACTTCAAACTAGCAATGGAAAATATAAAAACTATGCGATGAGATGAAAAATGGAAAGGGAAGAGATTCTACTTATCTTTGACCTTTAAACTTTTTCCAAGCATCTTCGCCTTTTTTTTCTTTATCTTCGTTTCTTTGCCCTTTGTCAATGATTTTTTTGATAACAAATGTTGACTACATGTGATGAGGATACAAAGTGAACTGTGATAACTCCGTCTGAAAAGTAAACAAATGTGGGTAGCAAAAGCGGAAGTGTGAGGAAGCGCAACATAATTTGCTCGTGAAAGATGTGGGCGGACGTCAGACTTTGTCAATTCAAATTTTTGTCGCCACAAATTTGTTTAATAGAATTTGGGATTCGAAAAATGTGAAAGTTTTAATCACTCGATTGAAGGAAAATTGATGAAAGGAAGTGAAAAGCGAATGAATGGAAAACTGTGAAGTGTTCCAGTAGAATATTAGTCAGAATATAAACAAAAGTAAGAAGTGGACCGAGAGAAATTCAAGATGGTGTAGTGGGGGAGATAATATTATTATCGCATCCCTTATTGCAGAAAACGGAAGATTGACACCTGTCCACCTGTGGCTTCATTTTATAGTTCGAGAAGCAGTTGTTGTGGCAACAGGTCGATTTGCTGACACATTTATCAATTAGCTAAATTAATCTAATTATTACTCAGCACTCCCGATAAAATAAGCTTGTTTTATAAAAAACGAAAGATATTAGCGCATATTAGTGAGCAATTTTTTACCCTCCAGAAATTGTGGAATTTTTTTTCAGTTTGATAAAAAAAAGGTACGTAAAGCTTGAAAATATAATTTATCAATTTTCAGTATAAATTCGACAAAATGCATGTGAAGATAAAAAGTACAAACAAACATAATAGTTAGGTACACAAAATGATTTTGAAACTTTCCCTTCTCTGATAATAAATGACTTACAAATTCTCTTTTGTCATTCAGTTAAACGTTCATTTGACATTTTGAATGATATTACCACGAAAAAAATTGCACAATTTATAAAATTTCAGGAATATTCTATGCGCGAATTGCAATATTTGGTTTGTTGTGAGTAGTAATATAATATTCCGATAACTTGCTTATAGGTGCGCAAACCTGCGTGCTTTCATTTAAACTTGCCAAATCCAATAATACTAAAACACTTAATTTGATTTGACCTATCTACTCTCGATCAAATTATTATTGTCACAAATTTAGTACACAATCAATATTCTGAAGTTTAGATTTTGAGGTTATAAATTAATCGATAACGATTATTGCTTGCACACCTATGATGAATGCATATGGTCAAATGACTTAACCGTAAACAAAGATTATAGGAAAAATAATTTAAGTTTAGCCTTTCTTCCTTGGGAAAATTTCAGAGGTAAGGTGGGTAAATTAGAAGCAAATAAAGAAGACTGCAAATGATGAATTCACATCAAAACTTTCAAAATGATTATATCTTTTTTTCGGGGAAACAGCAAACGAATTTTTTTTTTCGTTAGCAAGCATTGCGGACATGAAAATGTCAACTATAATAAACTGTGCTTTGCTCTCATTACATTTACAGTCAATTTTCCTAACTAATAGAGGACTTTTTGTGAAGATTTGTTGAAGAGGAAGCTAATCTAAGCATTACTCGTTCTTCTCTTCTTTTAAATAAATTTTAAAATTTGTAAAATTTCGGTATTTCCTCAAGTATAACATTGGAAAAAGAAATATTATTGGAGTTCGTTTCCATTTTTAATAAAAAAAAGTAAAAAAAATGAAGAGAAAATTCCCTTTCCTTTCTTTGCGTACAATTTTTTAAGCAATAAAATTGTTCCCTTTTCCATGCATTTGAATAATTTTTAATAAAATAGAAAAAGAAATGACATGCAAAGAAAATTTTCGTCATTTTCCGTACTTCAAAATATTTTCGAATTGAAAATTTTATCAAAAATAATAATAATTGCAGGGGAAAAATTTAGTTGGAAAAGATAGTGAAAGCATTTTAAAATAGCAGAAGTACTTCATTTCTTTTGCATATCATAAGGATACTCGAAATTATATATCATAAATTATAACGGGTTGATTACTACGACATTTTTAGCATCAACAATTCTGAAATTGCTCTGGGCATTGATAGTTGCATTGTTACAGCAAACTTATCGTACTATCAATGCGCAGATGACACAAACATGGTAGAGAAAATTTTTTCGGCTTTTTGAATGGGAACAGTGGAATAAGAAAAAGGAAAAATAAAATTTGTTTTGAAAGTATCAATAAGAATGTGCGAATTAGTATTGGTAAAATGTGAAATACTGGCTTAATTGCAAGGTACAATAATAAATGACCTCGAAGATTGCGTCTACTGTTCAGAAGAAAACAAAGGATTGTTTAACGGAAGCTTCATTGAATATTAATTGTTAACGATTGATTTACAATAAAGGAGAAAAGTGATTAGGGAAACAGAATTGCTCGTAAAAATGTTATAAAACATATGTTGATCTTGAATATGAGGTCAGCTTCCTGCGCAGAAGCGGTGATGAGGACATATGGATGTTATTATTGTCACTGCTACTACTGTCAAAGAAGCATATTCTAGTAATTACTACTAATCAAATCTGATAGTAATGATTTGAGCACATCTATAATGATAAAAAAAAAAATGTAATGGTTGATGTGAAAATCAATTCATTGCTCACTCAATTTCGATATCCATCCGTACATTGCCTGTGAGGAAGTAAAATTTTAAATTTTGAAAAAAAGAATTGGAATCGTTTTATCTTCTTATATACAAAAATGAAGCAAAAATGTCGTCAAAATCAAATTTATAATAAATTTGTTTACAGCCGAAATCATATGAATGAGGCCGAGACGGCAAAGAAGCATATTCTAGAAATTACTATTATTGAATTGGCCTTACTCCTTACTGAATAATGCCATGGTTTCCATATGCTTCTTAGACTTGAACTATGCTTGAAGTAATCATGCTAGGTATACAAATACATAAGCAGAAGTGTTCTAAGACCAATTTGTGAATTATAGGTCAAAACGAAAAGAGTGAATACCAATTAGGCAAATCAATTAGGGTTGAATTTTTGATAAATAAAATATTCCACACCTCCTGGTGAAAGCGTAGAAAGCTATTTCATCACAAAGTTGTCTCTGATAGCGTGCTTCTCATGATTTTTTCGAAAAATTCATTAGTCAACCAAT